GGGGCTAAGAACACACTTATCTCCCTGAGCATGGCCTTCATAAGTCCATTCCATCACAGTTATGCTGGTAATATTCACAGTCTACCCACCACCCTTGCTTAACTACTGCAGAGACACCACAGGGAGAATCACATCAGACATCTCAACTCTTGTGGAAGAAATAAGTTATAAAATAAAAAATTATAAAATAAATTATAAAAATAATAAAGGTGGGATAAAAAAATCAAATAAACAAACAAATAAATAGCTCAATTAGGGCAACAGACCTTTAGGAATATTTTTATGAATATTCGCCTCCCCACCTTCCCGAATTCTGGCCATACAGGTCTCTAAATCAGGGTTAGGGTTAGGCTAAAAAGCCATAAAAACAGTTTGCCAAGTTGAATATCAGGAGTTTAGAGAACAGATAGACAATACAGTAACTCAGACAGCAATACTGCTTCACTAGTATTTTATCCTCAGGTTGGGTCTCTGCCTTCTGCATAATCCAGTCATTTTCTCTCCCACACAGAAATAATTGTCACACATGCAGACACAAGAGTGCACACTCAAGAGAATATATAGTCCCCCAACTCCTTCTAGCAGAAACAACAAAAAAGAAGTTGGGGGAAGGGTAGTTACATTGTCCTTTGGTAGTTAAATTAGTTTAAAAAAAATCAAACTATAAAGCAGTGTCTTGGTTCTTGCTTGCAAAAAAGGCATTTGATGCCTTTTAAAGGAAACCTGAATGTCTCCTGCTCCCTTCCCCCCACTCATTAAACACAGTATTTAAACCCTACATCAATTAAGCATCTCAATGTATCTGATGACATGAGCTGCTGCTACTAAAAGCTTATGCCTTGTAATAAAATCTTTTAGTCTTAAAAGATGCTACCAGACTTTTTCTGATTTTTAAATACTATTATGACCCCTTTCTGGCTATATGCTTTGCAGACTTTTAGGAATGGGCAATATTTATTTAATTGTGAATGTAAGATTGCTAGCTTCATGTGATTACCCATTTGGATTTATTTGCCTATAGGTTGTGATCAAAACTTCATGAAAATTAATTGATTTTAAATTTTACTCTTTTTTTTAAAGATAAGTTATCTTTATCATCCTAGCATATAATCAGTCATTTAATGGAGTATGGCCCAAGGCAAGAAGACTTCTTTTCAAATAAATGTAAGGATTTTTCCAAGGAGAGTATTTAATATCTTTATATATGCTTCATTATTAATTGAAATTGTTTAATTTAATCTTCTCGGTAATAGTCTCCAATCAGACAAAATAGGGATTCATGAATTCAGTAGACAATGAACTGATGATATTTTCTATAGATATTTCAAACTTTAAAATAAAGTCTTAAAATCAAATGCATTTGTGGAAGCCTTTAAAAAAACCTGAGCAATACATCTTCATAAATAATTATAAATCTATATATAGTAATGCTCCCTAAAGAAGTTAAAAAAGCAGATCTCTTTCCAAGTGAAGGGAACCTAAAAAGAAATAACTTCTTTTTTTAAAAAAATCCATCTTTACCAAATTACTAAGTCAAAAAATTATATTCATGTTCTCCTTTGGTTATTAAACTGAATGGTTGAATGAAAGTACACTAGGGAAAACAAACATATGTATCCACCACAATCTAAGCACTCCTTGTTGCGGTCATTAAGCAATCTCCTATGTCATTAGGTAGACAAGCAAAAGAGCTATGTCCTTCAGCAGACAGCTGTTTTGCTCTGTCCTCTTTCCCCTCCTCTCTCAGTGGTGTGCTCCATTCACCGCTTTCACTCCGGAAAGAAGACAGAGAAAAAGAGCTGCCTGCTGAAGGATTTCAGAGCTGAAATTCTTCAGCAGAAGCTCTTTCACTCTGTCCTCTTTCCCTCCCCTCTGTCAGCAGTGTGCAGGAACAATACTCAAAGAGTGTCCTCTTTCCAGAGGGAAAGGATTGCCTGCTGAAGGATTTCAGAGCTGTCATCCTTCAGCAGGCAGATCTTTTGCTCTGTCTCTTTCCCCTCCCCTCAGCAGTTTGAAGGAATGGGGCTCAAATCTTCAGGATCTAAGCTCTGTATTTGCACATCACCACATCCCCTCCACTTATAACCTTCCCTGTCAGCTTCCAATGGGGACGCTGGCAGAGAAGATTTCAAATTGCAGTCACATGATTGTGGGGTGCTTGACAACCAGTTGTAAATGCAAGCCAGTTGCCAAGCACCTGAAATGTGGCCATATGACTGGGGGGGGGTGCGATGCGACATTTTATGATGGCTGTCATAACTTAGAACCATCATTAAACAAATGGTTGTTAAGCAAGGACTACCTGTATGCACATATGTGTAGTAGTAGTAGTAGTAGTAGTAGTAGTAGTAGGGATAATAGTAAGAAAGTGTAGGTGATCATCTCCTGTCTATATTATAAACCAGTTAAGTTGGGATGGTAGTTAGCACTATGGCAGGGAAAAAGCAAAGTGATTTATAAGGGTTATATTGCAATTTCAGAAATCTTTTCCACAATCCATTCTGTGCAGCATAAACCCACTGTGTATACCTGCATTGCAGCAAAGGAGCTTCTAGAACAAAACTCAAGGGACTCTACTACAAGTTAAATATCTTAGACAAATTATAAAGCTGTACTACACAGTTGTCAATTATTTAACTCTGTTCTCATCAGTGATTTTTACCATTAAGAAGAATTATCACTGAAATTAAAAATATTCTTTACAGCAGAAATATATTAATATAAGAATGCATTAAATTCTAAGTAACTATAAAGAGCTTAGTTGAAACAGAATAGTATTAGAAATGGAAACCAAATTTAAGCCCAAATAAAGCATTTTTGTTCTGTGCAGGCAAAGAAAGCTTGTTGTCTGTACTGTTGATTTATCCGATACAGGCTTCTACTGTTGTTCTTTTAAAGATCTCAAATCATAATCCCCACATCATTAATATTTGATGTTTTTGTTTACTTTGCCTGTCTCAATTGAATAAAATAATCTGGCTTCTTTTTACACCAGGTTTTTCTATCCATGTCTTCCCAACTTCATCAAACTTCTGAAATGAACTGGCACATAAGTAAACTTCAAGAATTTTCTGTGAATCTTGAAGTTAAGGATTCAACAAATATTCTTATATTCAGCACCTTAAGGTTCTACTGTACTTATCAATCACTTGAAATAGAATTTAATCAACTTTAATTCATTAGAAGAAGTTTGATTATATTAGTAGCTGAATTGACTTGGACTTGATTTGGATTCAAGTTTCAGTTTTAAAGTGTAGAAGGACCTTGTAATTAAACCTTGACACCTAAATATACAATAACTGAAAGTGGAAAATCCACTGAATTTCAATACTTTACAAAGATTTGTTTTGTTCATTGTTTATCAAATCAGTGGATGTGTTGTACCCAAGTGACTGTAAATTCAAGATTTTTGGCTACTCTTGGGCAAGGTGCCTCAATAACCCTAATTTCTTGCATAAGCCCACTTTTTCATTACTGAGCCTTCCTCTGGAATCCAGTCATCACTCATGGCCCAGTGGTGGTTTTTGCAGTTAAGTAACATCACCAAATAAAGCAAGTGGTAGGGTCAGCAACCCATGGAGGTTGAGACTAGGAGCATGGACCTGTTAGAGTAAAGCTTTAATTCTGCAGCTGTTTGGCTTTAAAAAGTAATTGTTAGAACCCACATTCTATTTTCTTTTAGTGTAAGCACTCTAATACAGTATATGAATGATAAGAAAATTTAATTATTCTTTTAAGAAAACTTGACCATGAACCAGAAATGTGTTTGGAGAAACCAAATAGTTCAGAACTAGGGTGACTCCTCTCTGGATCTGACCTAGAGGCTCTTGTTTTATTTCCTTATGATCTGTAGAACCATATTCTGTGATGTGATAGAGTGGGTGCCTGCTTTTCTCCCAGGACAGCATGCAACCTTCCCCCACACCTGAACACCCAATGGGTACAGGTATCTGTCAGTGGCATGGAGGAAGGTTGCATACTGTAGTAGGAGGGAGAGTCCCTCTACAGTGTTGTCCAAACTTGGCCACTTTAAGATGAGTGGACTTCAACTCCCAGAATTCTCCAGCCAGCATGAAGTCCCAGTTGAAGTCCACTCATCTTAAAGTGGCCAAGTTTGGACAACACTGCTCTACACCATTCAACCCATGGCACGCCCATCAGACCATTTTTAAAAATGGATTTAGCACTAAACCTGTGTTGAGCACTTAACCTGTTGATAATAGTGAAATGGGAGTTTCCCTTTCCTTGCATCATGTTAACTCTCACACTGTGACCGTTGTAACTGTTGTAACTGTGGACAGGTAGAAATGGAGGGGTATTTGTCAATACAGTTGCCAGGGATTAGGGATGACTTGCATGTAACTAAGCCTTTCAGGAAACTACTGTGTTGGATTGTTTTTTTTTCTTTTGAACTGATTAACTATTACTAAAAAACTGTAGAAAATCTGATGGACTGCTGTAAGCACTCTTAATAAATTCCACAGTACTACTATTATTACTAGTACTACTACTACTATTAGAAAAGGCATTATGAAAATTTAAGCAGATGTTAATGGGCACAGCCAGCTGTTTGATGCCATAGCTTGCATCATCCTCTGTTATCAGCATGAATGAAGATACAGTCTGTCAGATGGGAATATCTGTGGTTTTCCAATCTTCAGATAGAAAACCTTTTGCTGGTATCAGCAACACAGCTCCTCCTTCCTTTATAACCTAACATACTGTATTTTCTTATTGCTCAGCTTTGTATTGTAGCTGAGCAATACAAAGATTGATTACCTTTGTAACACTGGTACAGAAAAAAGATCAGTTGATTAGGTAAAATAAATACAGAAAAATATTGCAGCTGTGAATAAGGTGCTACTA